GGGCTCTTAGTGATCCGCCTGTTTACAGCCTCCCAAAGAGCTGGGATTACAGGTGTGTGCCACCACGCCCAGTCTCAATTGCAGTCTTAGCATGCCCTGGTGGTGGGGCCAGCAAGGCAGGCCCAGGGATTGAATCCCAGGCCCCTGTTCCTGCTTGCATGTGCTTTAATCTGCTGAGCTATTTGGCTGGCCCTCACAAGGATTTTTAATCAAAATAGTGTCTGCTGAGATCGTACTGTCCTTCAGTTGCCTGTCATAGGTGACATTACGGAATTGTTAGGACACCAGTTCTGTCTTCTGATGATTGAGGATAGCTACCCACAGTGTCATTGTTTCTAAAGCACTTTTAAATATAGGAAGATTTGGGAGTGGGGAAGGGAGGTGAAGCAAGGGTGAAAAGCAAGTCAATTCAGTTAACTAGATTGACTCACTCTGGCCTAGAAGAGAGACAGTTAGCCAGAGGCAGATTGGAGACTGGTCATTTGGTTAATTACATTTCCCCACGGATTTCTTCAGGAGGCTCACATATCATGTGTAGCTGTTGAGTTTTTCTTTACTTCTTTGTGTGGTAAAATTTAGCTCTAGATACAAACCATGAGCTGGTGAGGGGCAGGGCAGATGTCTGCAGAGTGGACGCGCATAGCTTTGAAACAGCAGTCTTGTTTGAGCTGGTTTTCTCCATAGCTCACAAAGGTATTTTCTTGCTCCAGTGGCTTGGTGACAGTGCCTTCTGGGTGAGGACATTAAGGTAGTGGAAATCTGCCTGGCTGAAAAGTCTTTGTAAACAGGAGAATGAGTGACCAGTGGGCATGAGAGGCTGAAAACATTCAGATTTGCTGCAGAACTCAACCATGATGTGTATGTGACCACTCACACTCCCAGAAATGCCAGACTGCGGGAGCCACAAGACTAAAGCCTTCCAGTACCATCAGCTGTTCCATCTATATGCTTAGATATTTAGGTATTGTGCAGAATGAACATCTCATTGATTATGAAGTGTGGCCACATCTTCTCTACCTAGTGCTTCCAAGACTCCCTGAACAATGCTAATACTTGCCCCACTTTAGGAAGATCAACCCCAAGTGTGGTACCACCCCATTTATGTATTAGAGCTCTGAGCTTCTTGAGATAAATGGATGGATAGACAGGCAGCCTGGCTGGGCTTTCTGTGTGCCATCTGTCTCATTTCCTGAGCTCAACAAGACTGTTTCAAAACCAACATCTGATATGTAAACTGCTCTTTCCTTTCCTACTCCTATGTAGATTCTTTTGTTATCTCTAGTTTGGTACTTGCTCTCAGGCCTACTGCTGCCCTGTGCTCCCTTGGGGGTGGCCTGGTCTCAAAACAGGGGACTCAGGCACCCAGGAGTTAAGAACTGGGGTTCTTAGCCTTTCTGGAGACTTCTGATATGCCAAGATGTTTCCGTAGTGGAAGGGTCACCCAGCTCTCTTGTGCGCATGAGCTTCCCAGGCATCTACCAGTCCATCTATCTGCCTGTTGTGCACTGACCAAGTCAGAGCCAGCATGCTTGGCCAAGAGCCCATCACAGGAGCAGCCCCTAGACTTTTATTCCCTCAAGACCAGAGGTGAAAAAAAAAAAAAAAAAGACCAGAGGTGACCTGTGATTCTGGCTACACCTTACCATCGGTGTGCAGTGTTCTCTTAACTCACAAGGACCTCTGGAAGGCAACTCCAGGTTCCTAAGAATGAAAAGTATAATAAAGCCCTCTTGCCCATCTGTATGTCTGCCATTCCCAGGAATCTGTCTCATGCTTTGAGGTTCTTCACCTGGTATAGAACCTGCAGGTCACAAATAAGTATGTGCCTGGGGGTCCTCCCCTCTCTGGTTAAAAGCTACCCTGCATCAGCTATGTGCCCTCCAGCCCTCCACTTCTCAGGTCCCACTGTCTGATGTCTGCCTCAGCAGCTGTAGGAGGAGGGAGAAGCCACTGTAGCTCTCTGGCTGCTGACCTCCAGGTCTTTGCCCAGCTTACCATCTGTGTTTCAGAGTTGTTGACCCACCTGACCTGGCACTTATGTGGTGATACTTATTTCCACAGCTGCTCTTGAACTATTCTGTAGGTTTTGGTTGACAAAGCCATCACTCCCTGCAGAGCTCTGCTGTAATAGCCTCTGCTCATGCCACAGGTGAGCAGTGTCTTGGGGTCTCTTGGGGCAGGAGCATTACCCAAGCTAGCTTCAAGGGCATAGGACTAGGGGCTGGTGGGGAGGGGCCATACATGGCGAGTCTGCTGTCCTGCACCCCTTCCTCAGAGGGCTTCAAGCCAAGCCCATAGCTGTTCATATGAAGCAGCCTTATGGTGGGGCAGGAGTGGCTC